TTGGCCAAGGACTTTGTGAGCCTCATGCTCTGACAGGGAGGAGGGGAAGCCAGGAGGAAGCAGAGACAGGACACCTGACCCAAACTGACCAAAGAGGTATTCCATACCACAGCACGTCATGCCCAGGATGTAACGGAGAGCTAGCCAGAAGGGCTGGGAGACTGCAGGGTTGGAGGAGGTATCGGTTGGTGCTTGGTCGGGCTGGGGGGGCGAGTTATCGGTCAGCTGGTGGTGAGGTGTTGTATTCTCTTCCCTTGCTATTTCCTTTATCATTGTTATTATTGGTGGTAGCAGTAGTGATTTGTGTTATACCTTAGTTACTAAACTGTTCTTATCTCAACCCGTGGGAGTTGCATTCTTTTCCATTCTCCTCTCCATCCCTCCGGGAGTAGGGGGACGGAAAGAAGGGGGGGAAGTGAGTGAACGAGTTACCTGACTGGGTTTAAACCACGACACCATAGCTTCTGTTTTTAAGAGCAACCATCAGGAAGGCTTTCACCAGCACTATCTCATTTCGCATTTCAACAGACCAGGAGAACACGGATGCTCAGCTTTCAGGGCTCAGCCAAGGTAACTTCTGGCTCACAAGACCAGAACTTCCTATGCCATCTCCCAATATCTCCACTAGTATCACAACTAGAGAGTTATTTTTACAAGTCTTATGTATGTGTGTTACGTGGGTTTACTGAAATAATAAATACAAGAAAATTATTCAAACAAAATATGCAGACTATCTGCCGTAAAACCAACCTGGCAAACCACCTTAGAATTCCTTAAGGACACCAAATGTCCTTAAATTCAATTTTCTGAATTGAGAGGAAGAATTACATTAGGAGTTGAGGACAAATTTAGCTCTTTCTGTGCCAAAGGCTGCATTCACTTTGTGGCTTTATAAACTCTGGAATTGCTAAATACATGTAAAGCTCTTAAATAAATAAATAAGTAAAGCACTGAGAAAATTTTTCTTCCTGAATTACTCTGCAGTGTATCTAGAACAGTACTTCTCCTTCGCTGCAATATTATGCTGCGGTACTAACGCAAAAGTTCAACCTCTTTTCATTTCTTTATTACCAGTAGCAATCTAGGAAATGCTACATCAATAGTAAATCTACACGAAGTCACACTCCTCTGGTGCATTTTGTGCATAGCAATCAGTTCATAACGCAGCCTGGTGGTGTTTAAAATTCATTTTATTCTTCAATTACTCTGCCAGCCAGACTCTAATTTATTATATTTATATTTATTATATTTTCTGGTACATTTGATTTTTGATACTACAACATCCTGGCTCATGCCATTAGAGAGGAAACATAAAATGGTGAGGATGCCTAGGGACAGCTGAGAGTAAGATAGCAACAGCCTGGAAAATTAACAATATCACTGTCTGTGTTCAGCTAGACCTCTCCTGCCTTAGCATTAAAAAAATTTGGCAGTATTTCTCCCATATCGACTTGACATCCAGGAATAGCCTCAGAGGCACCATAAAACCTCAGCTAGGGCAGTGGGCAGCTTGGGCGGATGGGAGGGCGCATGGAAGTTTCTGTGGACACTGAGCTGCAGGAGAAATGAAACACTGGTCCTGGGCTGCTTGGAGCCCACCAAAGGAAACAACAGAGTTCTAAATGCCATGATATTATATATATTGATTTTATTTTATTTTTAGCCTTTTGATGTCTCTGTCCTAGCTACCATTCATTTCTCCCACAGATCAAGGTGAAATGAGAGGCAGCAGACAGAAGCTTTTTCAGAGCATCCTTCTTGAGAACCCCAGCAGACAGAGGGCTTCGCCTCCCCCTCAGGCTTGGTGACCGACTGCATTAACCTTCGGGACATGCTGCCAGCCACACCTGCTTACTCAGGCTTTTGCCAGCAAAGGAGGCTCTCACCACACTGATTCGTCCTTCGAAGATGCATCCTCTTTTGCTTACTTCTTACTTCCCTCATGACATCTGGCATTTGAACTCCTGCATTCAGAGGATGGAGGGACAGCCCCAATGGCAAAACATCAGGCTCCTGTATTCACACCTGACCTTCTCCCCTACAAGATTCTGATAATTTCAAACATGAGAAATCCTCATGTTCCTGCAGAGCTTGTTCTGTCCCAAGAAATTCCACACTGGGTTTTAAGAAGATCTGTATTTCCCTTCTTTTGTCTGTTCTTCAGAAAGACTTAAGACAGCTTGCCAAAACAACACCCAAGAGTGAAAGCTTTACAGGGAAATCCAGTGGACCTGCAAGAGGCTGCCTGCATTGGAAAGAACTTGTGGTAGGGGAAACCTGGCTGGACCCAAATCCTCACTGATCATAGAATCACAGAACAGTTAGGGTTGGAAAGGGCCTTAAGATCACCTAGCTCCAACCCCCCTGCCATAAGCAGGGACACCTCACACTGATCACTTTTTCCTTCAGAAAAAAACCAAACAGGCTACTTTTCTTTCATGGGATAATGAAGTTTTCTCTAAGCTGTCTCCTAGCTCAGGCAGTATTGCCAGCTCCTTTTAAAACTCCATGAGCAGTAAGAGTTTTACTAAAGATACAGTTGCTGCCAACTGTTGCATAAATAACGCATTTTTAAATAAAAAAGACAACATGACAAAGTACATGTAGCCATGGTAAAACATAACGATTCAGATTGCAAGCTCATTTTAAAAATAAGTAAGAAATGCCACTTCAGAGCTTACCCACTGCCTGTCAGTTTTCTCCACCCCTCCTGAACCTGTTCTGTAAACCAGTTACTGGTTTCTGTTCAGGTTTTCTTCCCAGCAGCCCAGTTCCATGCAAAGGACGGGCACAGAAGGGAGCAGCATGAGGGAGGCACAAGCATATTTTCAACGTTAGGCTGCCTGATTTCACACTTAAAATACCTCACTGGAAGTTACTGGCACATGAGAAATATGGAGTACAATTTTAGCTTGTGAAGTCTGATGGAGTCAGAGCAAATCCTATCAGGCTGCACTTAGGTGGAATGGGGAATTGGGATGGAAGGGCTCTTCTCCCCTGTTAAGTGCTATTCCATGCCCCAGTATAATGAAATATCACTGACAAGGTGAGAGAAAATAGCTTCTCTCATACTGGTGTATGGATACCAGGAAAACATTGACCAAGTTCTTTAAAACCCCACGAGAACTTCACCTCCAATTATTTTCTCTTCCCTATCCCATATACTCTTAAGTAACTTGTCCATGCTTATGCTGAGAATCAATGCACACACTCCGGTGTCTCCCTGCATCTACTCTCATTACCCTCTGTTTGAAACAAACCACGAATCAAGGCCAGAGACTCAATTTCTCTTTCCAGCGTGCAGAGAATAATCATCAATAATTGATGTCAGTCGGCTTCATTTGGGGCACTGCCTCAGGCATGCAATGGAGACTTACAGTATGCACCAAGAAAAGGAGGATTTGTATATAAAATGATTTGATAATCTGAAAAAAATCCCTCAGTAAACAAAGGAAGTTTACAGATAATTGCATTAAAGATTAGAGTTGTTTTAAAACAATGCAGAATGTATTTGAGAACATGTGGGAAGAAAGATGACAGTTTTAAAAGCAAAACCTTGGGGGAAAACATTTTTTCCCCCTCAAACAGAAAACGGTAATTCACTTTATTAAATCCTAATCCTCTCCAATTCATGTTAAGACTGAGAATGCTCTTTATTGGAAAAAATACTCTATTTAACTGCAATTTTATAAATAATGATTATTTAAATATATTTAAATACAGGTTTAATATCTGATTAAATGATTGGTTATTCCATCTTTTTTGACTGCTTCCATTTCATTTCAAATTTCAGAAGGAGGCTAATTTTCAGTCAGAAAACTGAGTAAGTTTTTTATTAAATAAGGACAGAACTGAATCTCTGGACTACAGAAAAAATTTACCACGACAGCAGCAATCAATCCAGTGTCTGTTTTTCTATATGCACCTACTGAGCAGATGGAAAATTAAGAAAATAACTCTTCCTGTCTTATAAATGTTATTATTTTCCCATCATTGATTTACTGTTTTCCAAACTTTTGTTTTGGCGGTTTATGTGAAAATCCCCCAAATAAAACCCGTAAATTGTTCATGACATTTTCTATTATCAATATTCATAATAAATAAATTTGTAAGCATCTTCCATTTAAAGAACAACACATTACTGAAGCTCCTCACTGCTAAAACTGCTGACAGCACAAGAATAAAGTTACTCTGTAACTAAGAAGTAAAAGCAAAAACTACAGAATTGAACAATAATTTAGTAAAAACATATTGTACCAGATTTTTATGTCTTTACCTACTCTATTTCAACTTCAGTCTTCCATAAAAAAATGTTTAATGTTAGAGCTAAATTTGGAAGGATTTCTAAGTTAAGATCTGAAAAGAAAGAAAAGAGAAAAACTGCTGAAAGTACTGGGTTTCAGGGTTTGGTTTTTCTCCTTTTTATACTGCTTTCATTTATATACAGAAATTGATTTTATATATATAAAATATGTAAAATAAGTTCAATTATAAGCAGAATGCTAACCAGATTTGTACCAGCAGCAACTGAGCCCTGGCAAAGAAATCCCTAAAGGATGCTTTGCTGTAACCGTGGTGAATTCAATCACTTCCTCTGGAGCAGAAGCAAGCGGAAGGACTCTCATGCCCCCAAAGGACCCCACAGAGTCACCACTGCAGATTCAACTGTATGGTCAAGCTGCAGGGGTGGCTAAGTAGGACATCACCTGAAACACAGCACATATGGGATAGCAACTGCTCCTAACATGTGTGGGCGAATTCTAGTGAAGTCCCTTCCCTCCTGCATTTTAACTTCACCTGCTTAGCTTGTTTTCAGGCATGCGTGGCCTCACTTATAGCAACACTTCAGAACAAACCATCTTCTTTATCCTCAGTCAGTACTGCAGCTAAAACAGAAATCTTTCCTCTTTGACCCTTCGAGGCAAAGAGAAATAAAAATCCCAGCACAATGTTGACATTACTGCGAGAAGTAAGTTGCCTTCCCCAAACTTGAGACTTACTTAGAGACAAACGACACCTGTTGTGAAATCCGTATGGTTCTGATCATCTGCAGGAGGTAACACGACAAGCTATGCCCAAAAGTTCATCATCAAGTATCTTTCGCTTCACAATAGCGTGACACTTAGTTCTGAACATTTCCTGCCTCCACAGCTTTTCCAACTTTTCAAAATATGACTTAGAAAGCATTACACTTCTACAGCATTTTGCTAGTTGACAGCATACATCCCTTACTAAAGAAGAAAGAACTGTAACAGTTTCATTTCACACTCCAGTAACCCCAAATTCTGCATTACTGCTCACTTTGGTGTTAATTTTCCCACAGATTCTCTTTTTCTGCTTACATGGCAAGACAGCTCAGGTCAAGTGCAGAGACAAGCTGTGCTGCTCATTCTCCTTTTTACCATCACTGAATCACCTTCACTTTTGCTTCACTGGAAAGATATTTTCCCTGCAAAAAGTAGGAGAGCTACAGTCAGTAGATAAGTCAGCAGCCATCAGTCAAAATGAATTTCAAAGTCTGAAAAAAACCCTCCACACAACTAAAACTGCAGGTATTATTTATGCAGCGTATGCCCACACTGTATAAATACACCACGACAGGTATATTTGCTGCTGTACACGCAGTGAAACCAAATTCAGTTCATGTCACTTCCAGCTACAGACAGGCATGTTATCAGAAGCTACAGAACAGAAAAGTATCAGTGCTGAACAGATATGCTGAGTGATCCCCCAGATAACAAGAATGAAGAGTGGTTATTTTGCCAGGCAAAGTAGAAAGATACCTTTTTTTACTGATGAGTGGAAACAAACATATGTGGTGCTTGTCACTGAATTCTCAGTGTACATTTTGTAATGCAAGATCTAACATCTTTTGAAGACATTCAGATTAAATGCATGACAGATCCATGAGTACACAAACACATCTATATTTTTAGCTTAATATAACCTGGGTGGGATTATCTTTACCTTAACATTTAAAAGGGATTAAAATAGTTAAGCGAACCTGAACTCTGAAGGCATTCAATACTGAACAAATAGCATTTTATACTGGTTTAGTATAAGGCAGGAAACCCTGTGATTTTTAAAACCTCAATCTTCATTAGAAGCAGCAATGACACCTGCAATGAATTACTTGTAAAAACAGTCCAGGAATTGACTTGTACTAATTTTAATTAACATAAATGCAAGATGTAGCACAGACATGGAACTATTTTACTAATTCACTGCATGAGTCTTCATTAGCTTCTGTCAGTAACAATAAAGCACTGAGAAAACTCCTCTACTGCCAAAAGACATAATGACAGGAAAAAGAGGCCAGACAGAAGGAAATCCTCACCAGCTTGCTCTGGAGAAAGCTTGACTGAAAAAGCTTTTTTTCAAGTTTAAAAAACAAGTTACTTCAATTAACAGTCAAAACAGCCCCAGGGAGCAGCAGGGGTTTTGAAGATAGCTATGCTGCATACACACTGTACCAAAGGTACAGTTACAGCTGTACCATCACACAGGGATTTATAGCAAACTCTCTGAACATGACCGGAAAGTTTATACAACACATTATGATCTATGTTGTCTTGTGATGTAATGTGATCAACTTCCACTTACAGTTCTTCCAGTTTGGTTACAAAGAAATTGTAAAATTGTTAAAAAAAATATATATAGGAGAAAATGATGACATAGGGCAGATCTAATAAAGAGAGTCAAGAACACAAGGAAGGGTGGGCTATTGGTAAATAAATGCATGAACTTAGAAGTAAAAATAAGGCATTCTCCTCCACATGAAGTGGCAATGGCTGTTTTTTTCTTTGATGACTTTTAACCTCCAGGAGGTGTAGAAGCAAATTCATATGGTCCATATTAAAAAATATCATCTACTACAGAAATTCACTGCATTATCCATGAGGCACATACAGATATTAACATCTCCAGTGTCTTCCTGAAGTGACTTGCTCTATATGTAGGCTACCCATCCATAACATGGACTTTGAATGTACTGTTCTGCACAGACTGACAAGAAGGCAGTGTGAGAACCGACTCTGCTGAAATCAAAATGTGGTTAGCTTAAGGGCCTTGTGGAGGTTGTGAGTTTTCTTGTTGTTTTCGCTGGTGTAGCAGGTAACAATGTCAGTTACAGGAATGATCTGAATGACATCATTGCACCCACAGAAAACCCCAATATAGGCTCTCATCTACTGCCATAAGGGTATCTTGCTGACACAGCTCACTTAATCTAAGGAATAGTAGAAGGTCCACAGACAAAAGCACATTCACGTTATGACAAAGTAACATGCATCAACAAAAAAGGCTCACTGCTGCCAGCCAAGCTTCTTTTTGCAATGAAGACTTTGTTCAGCAATGCCAACCAAAACCTGATAGCCAGAAAAATCACAACACACCTAGACTCTGAAAAGTTGCCTTGTGTCAAGAAAAAAAAACCCATGGGTTGGTCCTTTCAAAGCAAACACAACATTCCTGTGGCAGAACATGACAGTTTATCCAAGCACAATATAGCAACCACTGAAAACCACTTTCCACAAACTGGTTTTGGTACACAAGGCAGTGACATTTTACCTCCGTTAGCTTTGCTTGAATTTCCATTTGCTTCTGTTCTGCCAAAAACCTCTGCTGCACCAGCTTTCTTTTTCCTATGTGTGCACTCAGAAACAAGGATTAGCACTCATCTGAAGAGCAAAGCAAGGCACAGGGAAGGTAAGAGCTTAAAATCTTCCATCACTAGTATTCTTCGGCCTTTCAGGCCAAAATTTTGAAACTGACACTGCATTGAGAGGGTTCTCTGTAGAGGAGAGCTCAGATTCAAGCAAAAAGTGCATACAAAGAAAATCTACACAATGAGTACAACTGCAAGAATCAATAAAGTGTCAAGATATAGGAACACTGACTTGAACCCAGTAATAAACTGCGCTTATTCCGGATTGTTTTGTAACCAGCCAACCATCACGAATGCACGATGCCAGCATCCTCATACCTTCCACTGGGCCTGTGCAACCTCTTTGGAGGTGGTCATGGGAACACACCATGGCAGTGCCATCTCAGGGATTTGGGGTCAGAAGCACAGTCTATAGCACACTTCAGAATCACTGCCATGGCAAAGAACATACCAACACAAAGCTTGTTGCTACTTTTTCCCCACTGTGCTGAATAATATCTGACAGCACTATACCATGCCAGGCAATCTGATCCAAAACCCCTGCTTTGCCTTTCTGCAGCTACTGGGTTCTTTCCTTTGCCCAGACACACATGGGCTCTCGTTTAACATACACCACTTCCCTTGTGCTCTATTGATAGAAAAAATATATACGCCATAGTTCCTTCTTCATTATCTAGAACTACTTATTACTACCATTTACAACATTTTTAAATTGGATCAGTTCATACATTGGTTATACTCCTTGATAAAACTACATTTTGCTCTACAATAAAGGGTTCTTCATAAGAATTCTGCACACTCCATCACACAGCAGTTAAGTGTGACATCTCTCTACAACACTTCTGAGTGACAGCGGAGTCAACAAGGAGAGGTGCTATGCTGGACCTTGTTCTCGCCAGCAAGGAGGAGAGCTGGTGGGGACATGAAGCTCAAGGCTGATCATGAAAACAGTGGAGTTCAAGACCCTTAGAGCAGTGAAGAGGTGCACAGCAAAATCATCACCCTGGACTTAAGGAGAGCAGCCTTTCTTCTCTTTAGGGTTCTGCTTAGTAGAGTAGCATTGAATAAAGCCCCGGAGGTAAAGAAAACAAATTAACATTCAAGGAACGCCTCCGCCAAGCTCAGGAGCTATGTATCCTGACAAAGTCCAAAATCACCAGGAGGCCTACATGGATGAAAAAGGAGCTCTTGGAGAAACTCCAACACAAACAGGAAACCTAGAGAGGCTGGAAGCAAGGACAGCTAGCCTGGGAGGAACACACAGAAATTGTCTGAGCAACCAGGGATCAGGTTAGGAAAGCCAAAGCCCTGACAGAAATAAACCTGACCAGGGACACCAAGGGTAACAAGAAAAGGTTCTACAAGTATGTTGATGAAAGGAAGAATAGGGAAAATGTGGTCCCTCTCCAGAGGGAAACAGGAGACCTTTTACCCAGGATATGGGGAAGGCTGAAGTACTCAGTGACTTTTTTGCCACAGTCTTCACCAGCAAGTGCTCCAGCCATACAGCGCAAGTCACAAAAGGCAAACACATGGACTGAGAGAATGAAGAACTGCCCACAGTAGATCAGATTTGAAGAACCCCAAGGTGCACAGGTCCATGAGACCTGATGAGATGCATCCACAGGTTCAGCCAGAGAACTGGCAGATGAAGCGTCTAAGCCACCATTCATCATATATGAGAAGCTGTGGCAATATGGTGAAATTCCCACTGAAAAGGGGAACCATAACCCCCATTTTTAAACGGAGGGGAAAAAAAAAAAAAAAAAAAATAGGAAGACCTGGTGAACTACAGGCCAGTCAGTCTCACTCGGTGCTCAGCAAGATCATGGAGCAGATCCTCCTGGAAAATATGCTAAGGCAAATGAACAATAAGAAAGTGATTGGTGACAGCAAACATGGCTTGACTAAGGGTAAACCATGCCTCACAAATTTGGTGGCCTTCTATGATGGTCCCACAGCATTGGTTAGCAAGAGAAAAGTGACTGTCATCTACCTGGACTTGTGCAAAGTGTTTGACACTGTCTCACACAACATCCAGAGACAATCTAAACACATCCAGAGACAATCTAAACTGGCTGGATTTGACAGATGGACCACTTGGTGGATAAGGAATTGGCTTGAATGGTCACACTCACAGAATTCTGGTCAATATCTCAATGTCCAAGTACAGACCAGTGACAAGTGGTGTTCCTAAGGGACCGGTATTGGAACCGGCACTGTTTAACATCTTTGTAGGATGCAAACATTCAGCTATGTTACCCCAAGTTTCCATTTTTTAAATAAAAGCATTCCCATTCATTGTGCAGAAAAAAAAAAAAATCACAGAAGAGAAAAACAATTTAAAATCTTGCATGTTCACAAGTTACCTGATTTTGTATCAAACATCTGTGTATTTAAGCTTTTGTTTTCACCATCTAATGCACAGCTCAGTATGAGAGACTCAGCAAGAGACTCCTTTCATCTTCCAGACCCCAAATTACTTGTAATACTAACATCAATTATATATAATTGCTGAAAATAAGCATCTATGAAAATGTAAAGGATTGATATCTATGCAAATTCATATCACCCAAAATAGTTTAGAAATGAAAGACACCTTTAGTACTACAAAACACATTGCAAGGATGAAGTCAGCTGACATACAGCACTTCTACCCCCTCTAAAACAGCAGAAGCAGGGTTGGGAGCATATCCATACACATTAGTAGATAAAACCAGTCCCCAGATCCAAAGCAGAAGTCAGCTACTTACATGCAGAATACAGAACAGTCAGTATGAAAACACAACAGTTTTATCCCATGAACTTTGTGTACATAAATCCTGACCCTGAAAACATTTACATGC